GAATGTAAATTAGTGCAGCCACTATGGAGGACAGTATGAGGTTCCTTAAAAAACTAAAAGTGGGCTTACCATATGATCCAGCAATCCCAATCCTGGGCATATATCTGGAGAAAACTACAATTTGAAAAGGCACACACACCCCAACATTCACAGCAGCACTATTTATAATAGCCAAGACATGGAAACCACCTACATATCCATCGACAAAAAAATGGATGCAGAAGATGTGGTATGTGTACACACACACACACACACACACACACACAATGGAATATTACAGAGCCATAAAAAAGTGAAATAATGTCTTTTGCAGCAACATGGATGGACCTAGAGATAATTACATTAAGTGGAGTAAGTCAGAAAGAGAAAGAAAAATATTATATGATATCACTTATATATGGAACTAAAAAAAAGATACAAATTTTATTTACAAACCAGAAATAAACTCACAGACATAGAATATAAACTATGGTTACCAAAGGTGAAAGGAGGGGAGGGATAAATTAGGAGTTTGGGACTAACATACACACTCCACTATATATAAAATAGATAAACAACAAGGACCTACTGTATAGCACAGGGAACTATATTCAATTTTTTATAATAAGCTATAATTAAAAAATATGTATATGTACATATATGTACAACTGAATCGCTTTGCTGTACACCTGAAACTAACATTGTAAATCAACTACACTTCAATAAAAAATAAAATAAAATATTAGCAATCTGAATCCACCAACGTATAAAATAGCCCTAATATCCTTCACCAGTGAAATGATGAATATAGTGTGATACAGTCATATACTGGAATGCTTTACAGTAACGACATGGATGACTCCCCCAAACATGATATTGAACAGAAGCCACACACAAAATAGTTCATACCATAGTGTAGACTCCATTTATATAAAGTTCAAAAGCAGTCAAAACTAATCAGTGGTATTATAATTAAATTTATCAAGAAAGATAAGTGGGAATGCCTAAAACGGAACATGAAGGGGCTTTTGGGGTGCCAGTAATGTTCTACTATATGATTTGGGTGCTGGCTACATGCATGTGTTCATTTTATGATAATTCATCAAGCTGTACACTTTGTGTATGTTATACTTCAATAAAAATATTATTTAAAATAAATCATTCCATCTCAATCTAGATAGCAGCATCAGTTGTCTGTTGAGCCAGTCTGAACCTAACCAATACAACGTTGCCATCAGTGTAAAGGATAATCCTTGTCCTTTAGTTCATGTCTAAGGGATAAACAGTCACTCTCCACCATATTATTAAGGTAGGGTTAAGAAGGAAGAAGTAGAGGAAATGCAAATTAAATCCTTGTGTCCACTTGAAACCATTTTATATATAACAAAATATCTAGAAAGCATGTGATAACTACAACATGTACAGTTTAGAAATTCATTTGTTTTCAATACCAAAATAGAACTATAGAACTGAAAAACATTCTTGTCTACCAAGGCAAGCTAGGTGCCCATGTGTACAGCTCAAAAGTCTTCCTATTATGTTTGGGTGTCATTATGTGATAGTATTGCACCTTGATTTATCTGTAAGTGGACACTGATCAATGGTTTACTTTTGTTTAAAAAGTGTTTTATGTAGGCGAGGTGAGAGGAAGAGCAAACCATAACAAGGTAGGTAATAAAACCATTTGTATTTATTAGTAAGTTTTCACTGAAAGATTTGTAGTCTTATGTTTACCTAATAACTCTGCTTTTTATACATTCTCTTTAGCTCTGTGCCAGTAATTATTTTTGTATCATCATGTGAAAAAAGTTATATGAACTGACTAATTCTCATTCTTGCTGACATTTATAAGCATTTCATTAACAAGATTGTGCCTGTTTTCTGGTGCCTAAATGAAGACTGTTAAAATGTAACACTTAAAAACCACCTGCTAGAAACAAAAATAATAGCCATACTTTTATTTTACCTTTTTGATTCTGAAAACTAAAGAGTTCTTGCAGAAGTGGGAGTGGTGGGGATTTCCAGGGTGAGGTGCACACTATCCATGTAAAAGAGTTTTCAAATAAACTGATGATTCCTATATTTGTATAATGTGTTTTGTTTTTCCACAGAATAAATAAAAAAAATCATTGTCAACTGATTACTTTTTAAAATTTGGAAATGTTTAACTTTAATAAATGTTAAAGCATCTATTATTTAAAATATATTTTACATTTATTACATATAACCAAAATTTAATTGTACATGTGCTTATAAATGTGAGGGTTTTAAAAATCATAAGTAACATTTAAATTAGTTTCTGTCAATGATGAACAGTCTCTTTAGCTATATAGTGTGTGCATCCTTCACTTAATAGGGAAAAATAACATTTGGTTTAACTTACTTCCATGTTTCTCATAATAATGCTATTTATCTAGGAAAGATGATGTCCTCAAGCTCATTTTAGTGGATTTTGTTGATAGCAAATGTATTCTACATTAATCTTCATAAAATATTTGAGTTATTTGAGTAATAGTTTTGTAAATATAGAAAGTCTTTAAAAGTAATTTCATTTTTTTAATTAAACTTTTTTTTTACTAGATTTAATATGTTAACGTGGACATTCTATTGTTCAAAGTGCTTCCAAAACTGGCACACTCACCTCTGGGGCTTTCCAAGCAGAAGTTTTAAGTCCCCTAATCTTTTTTGAAAAAAGAAGGGGGTGATGTTGGAAATGTGCCAGGAGTCAGCCTTGGTATTTCTCTTAAAGTGCCACAGTGAAAGTACCCTCTCCCACAAGTCAGTTCCTTTTATCAAAATCATAATTTCACACCACCACCATTGCCAGAAAGCCTGTCTCCACAATCAAGACAACAGTAGGCCAGTTACACATTTTTAAAATCTGTACTTTTGACCATTCCTGTACTTACTTCCTCTGAGTTTCAACATCTATTTACCAAATTTACACACCTGTCAGTTAAAATGCAAAAGTAATTTTTCCTCAGTGTAAATAGCATAGGAATATGAAAAGTTAAAATTAGTAGTTTCTCGTTTCATTTTTGCAACTCATCTAGTATTAAAAATTTGGTGCTTTAAAAGATGAATGGATAAAGGATATATACATACATACAATGGAATATTACTCAGCCTTAAAAAGAATGAAATATTGTCATTTGCAGCAACATGGGATCTAGAGATTATCATACTGTGTGAAGTAAGTCAGACAGAGAAAGACAAATATATGATATCACTTATATGTGGAATCTAAAAATGATATAAATGAACTTATTTACAAAAGAGAAACACTCACAGACATAGAAAACAAACTTCCAATTACCAAAGGAGAAAGTGGGGGAGAGGGATAAATTAGGAGTGTGGGATTAATAGATACACACCACTATATATAAAACAGATAAACAACAAGGATTTACTGTATAGCACAGGAAACTATATTCAATATTTTGTAACAAGCTATAATGGAAAATAATCTGGAAAAGAATATATATATAAAAGTACATAAACTGAGTGACTTTGCTGTACATCTGAAACTAACAAATATTGTAAATCAACTATACATACAGTTCAATTTTTAAGAAAACCTGAAAAAAAGAAGAAAAAAAATTGGTGTTTAGTGAAGCAGAACTCACACTCCAGGGCCAGACATTTGAATCCCATCTCTGTCACTTCTTGGCAAGTAACCCTAGGCAAGATATTAACCTCTCTGCCTCAGTTTCCTCATCTGTAGAATGGGACTAATAGTAGTACTCCTTATAAAGCTGTTGCGAGGATTAAATGAATTTGTAAGTGTAAGTATGCTATTAGTGTTTACTATTATTATTGTCTGTCCAGAAACTTCCTTTGCTTATATAAATAAAATCATGTTTCTGATTATTGTTTACAAATATGTGATGATATAACTCTGTAACGTGCTTCTTTTGCTATGATATGGAATTGCTTTGTCAAAAGCACTTAAAATTTTTTAATCAACACTACCAGATTGTTTTCCAAAAGCAAAAAGTAACTGGGCAGTACACCAACCGGGCTGCAAAGCAGAGAGTTGCAAAGCAAGGCAACTAGCGTGGTGACAGTAACACAAAGGTGGGAGGGGAAGATGGAAATATGCTGTTCTAAGGTCCTTACAATATACCTGAAGTGTCAGAATTTTATCTGAAGGTAGACTGTGATGTCATAGATGCATGTTGTAAACCAAGAGCTAAACATAGCAAGAGATACATAAAATAAGCTAACAATAGAGAAAAAAAAAGAATCCTAAAAATACTCAAAACATCCAAAGGAAGGTAAGAAAAGGGAAAAAGGAGCAAAGATGGAACAAATAGAAAACAAATAGCAAAGTTCACCATATCTATAATCACATTAAATGTGAATGGCCTAAACACTTCAATCAAGAAATAGAGATTGTCACACTGGATAAAATGAAAAAGCAAAACCCAACCATATGCTGTCACTTTATATAGGCATAGATAAATTAAAATCGCAGCATTAGATACACCATGTAATTGCTATTCATAAGAAAAGTGAAGTAGCTATACAACTAATATCAAAGGCTCCGGAAGACAGAATTTAACCACTGATCAGGGAGGACATGTAATAATGATAAAAAGGTCAATTCAGCAGAGACATAATAATCCTAAATGTTTATGCCTCTCATCAGAGATTCAAACACGTAGGGGGGAAAATCCTGACGGAACTTGAAAGGAAAAACAAAGCCACAGTTTTTGTTGGAAATCTTCACAACCTTCTCACAAGGAGACAAAATCACTGACTATTTTAACCAACTTGACCTAACTGACATTTACAAAACACTTCAACCAGCAACAGTGAAATACAGTTTTTTCGAGTGCACATGGAATATTCATGAATATACAGCACATGCGGGGCCAAAAGTAAGGGATGTTGATGGCTCTGGAACGCTAGGAATTCAAACTATATTCTACTGACAAGAAACAAGCGTTTTCACTCAAAAAGTTATCTATGCGAAGGCTGGGCAGACGCGTGCCCCGGGCACCACCTGGAAGTGCGGCGCGGGGCGGAGACAGCGGCGGCCGGCAGCCGGGGGGAGGCCGGAGGAAGTGTCTGCTGACCGGAAAAGTGGACGAGGACACTGCGAAGCGTGCCGGACGCTAGAGTGGGTGATCCTTTCACTGTTGTCCAGGGAACCCCCCAGTGGAGATCCTCGCCTCGTTAACTCCCAGACGCGGGGCACCCACTTTGGGAGGCCCGGCCTGGATGCCTGACAGACGAGTCGAGGCGGGCGTGGGGCCGGGCCAGGCCGCCGGGCGGCTGTCCTTCCCCGGGCATCCGGCCCCCGAGTCCCGGGAAGCAGGCCAGCCACGTCTGCGACCGTGAAAGGCACCTTAAGGCAGGTCGCAGGCAAACCTGCCCTCGAGGGCGCCCAGCGGGGCAGAGGAC